GTCCTTGTAGCTTAACACCAAAGCATAGCACTGAAGATGCTAAGACGGATGCCCACATTCCCAAGGACAAAAGACTTAGTCCTAACCTTACCGTTAGTTCTTGCTAAACATATACATGCAAGTATCCGCGCCCCAGTGTAAATGCCCCCAACCTCTTACCAAGACAAAAGGAGCAGGTATCAGGCACACCACCGCAGTAGCCCAAGACACCTTGCTCAGCCACACCCCCACGGGTACTCAGCAGTAATTAACATTAAGCAATAAGTGTAAACTTGACTTAGTTATAGCAACACTTTAAGGGCTGGTAAATCTTGTGCCAGCCACCGCGGTCATACAAGAAGCCCCAATTAACTGTCACACGGCGTAAAGAGTGGCCCTCATACTATCATACTGACTAGGGGTAAAATGCAAATAAGCTGTCATAAGCCCAAGATGCACAAAAGCTCGCCCTTAACACGACCCTAGCGTCAATTGACCGACTCCCGCCACGAAAGCCAGGGCACAAACTGGGATTAGATACCCCACTATGCCTGGCCCTAAATTTAGATGCTCTCCCACACCAAAGCACCCGCCAGAGAATTACGAGCACAAACGCTTGAAACTCTAAGGACTTGGCGGTGCCCCAAACCCACCTAGAGGAGCCTGTTCTATAATCGATAACCCACGATGCACCCAACCGCTCCTCGCCAGAACAGCCTACATACCGCCGTCGCCAGCTCACCTCCCCTGAGAGTGCAACAGTGAACACAACAGCCTCAACCACGCTAACAAGACAGGTCAAGGTATAGCCTATGGAGCGGAAGAAATGGGCTACATTTTCTAAACTAGAAAACCCACGGAAGGGGGTGTGAAACCACCCCCGGAAGGCGGATTTAGTAGTAAAACAGGATAATAAAGCCTGCTTTAAACTGGCTCTGGGGCACGTACATACCGCCCGTCACCCTCTTCATAAGCTGCTAGTCCCAATAATTAATACTACATCAAGCCAAAGATGAGGTAAGTCGTAACAAGGTAAGTGTACCGGAAGGTGCACTAGCACTCAAGGCGTAGCTATGCGCTTTAGCGCTCAGCTTACACCTGATGGATATCGTCACCTTGCCGTTCGCCTTCCTTGGAAATCTAGCCCAACCACGCACAACGTCATGCCTAAAAAATTCACCCGATCCTCAAACTAAAGCATTATCAAAACTTAGTATAGGCGATAGAAAAGACCAACCCACTGGCGCAATAGAAAGCTGTACCGTAAGGGAAAGATGAAATAATAATGAAAACACAAGCAATAAACAGCAAAGATAAACCCTTGTACCTTTTGCATCATGATTTAGCAAGAACAACCAAGCAAAACGAACTTAAGCTTGCCCCCCCGAAACCCAAGCGAGCTACTTACAGGCAGCTATTCTGAGCGAACCCGTCTCTGTTGCAAAAGAGTGGGATGACCTGTTAGTAGAGGTGAAAAGCCAACCGAGCTGGGTGATAGCTGGTTGCCCGTGAAATGAATCTAAGTTCTACCTTAACCTTCTCCCCATCAATGAACTTCAACCAATCACCCCTTAACGTGGAAAGTTAAGAGCAATTTAAAGGAGGTACAGCCCCTTTAAAAAAGGATACAACCTCCCCTAGCGGATAAATCTTCCCCAACCTGCAACCCTGTAGGCCTTAAAGCAGGCCATCAACAAAGAATGCGTCAAAGCTCACTACCCAAAAGATCCAGAAACCTCATGACTCCCTTACCCCTAACGGGCTAACCTATACCTATAGGAGAATTAATGCTAAAATAAGTAACTTGGAGCTCCTCTCCTCTCAAGCGCAAACTTACATTTTTCCCCAATTATTAACAGACCAACTAATACTGCAATTCTAACAAGCCCAAATATTAACCTTACCCTGTTACCCCAACATTGGAGCGCCCATTAAGAAAGATTAAAATCTGTAGAAGGAACTAGGCAAACCCAGGGCCCGACTGTTTACCAAAAACATAGCCTTCAGCCGACCAAGTATTGAAGGTGATGCCTGCCCAGTGACATACGTTCAACGGCCGCGGTATCCTAACCGTGCGAAGGTAGCGCAATCAATTGTCCCATAAATCGAGACTTGTATGAATGGCTAAACGAGGTCCTAACTGTCTCCCACAGATAATCAGTGAAATTGATCCCCTTGTGCAAAAGCAAGAATAACCACATAAGACGAGAAGACCCTGTGGAACTTTAAAATCATCGGCCACTCCACAAACAACCCTAAACCTACTAGGACCACCACTCTCAAATACTGGCCCACATTTTTCGGTTGGGGCGACCTTGGAGAAAAACAAATCCTCCAAAAACAAGACCACACCTCTTAACCTAGAGCAACACCTCCACGTGCTAACAGCAACCAGACCCAATACAATTGATTAATGAACCAAGCTACCCCAGGGATAACAGCGCAATCTCCTTCAAGAGCCCATATCGACAAGGAGGTTTACGACCTCGATGTTGGATCAGGACATCCTAATGGTGCAGCCGCTATTAAGGGTTCGTTTGTTCAACGATTAACAGTCCTACGTGATCTGAGTTCAGACCGGAGCAATCCAGGTCGGTTTCTATCTATGACGAACTTCCCCCAGTACGAAAGGACCGGGAAAGTGAGGCCAATGCCACAAGTACGCCTCCCCCATAAGTAATGAACCCAACTAAATTACCAAGAGGACGCCCTAACCCCCATGCCCTAGATAAGGGCCAAGCTAGTGTGGCAGAGCTCGGTAAATGCAAAAGGCTTAAGCCCTTTACTCAGAGGTTCAAATCCTCTCCCTAGCCCCAAACCCATGACCTGATCCCCTGCCGTAACCTACCTCATCATGTCCCTATCCTATGCTATCCCAATCCTACTCGCAGTAGCCTTTCTAACCTTAGTCGAACGAAAAGTCCTAAGCTACATACAATCCCGTAAAGGCCCAAACATTGTGGGCCCCTTCGGCCTACTACAACCAGTAGCAGATGGGGTAAAACTATTCATCAAAGAACCCATCCGCCCCTCTACCTCTTCCCCCCTTCTCTTCACCATTACCCCCATACTAGCTCTCCTCCTGGCAATTACAATCTGAACCCCCCTCCCCCTTCCCTTCCCTCTTGCCGATTTAAACCTGGGCCTTCTTTTTCTCCTAGCCATGTCTAGCCTGGCAGTTTACTCAATCCTATGGTCCGGATGGGCTTCCAACTCAAAATACGCCCTAATCGGAGCACTACGAGCAGTAGCACAAACCATCTCCTATGAAGTAACATTAGCCATTATCCTCTTATCCATCATCCTACTAAGCGGTAACTACACCCTAAACACCTTAGCCACTACCCAAGAACCACTCTACCTAATCTTCTCATCCTGACCCCTTGCAATAATATGGTACATTTCCACACTTGCAGAAACAAACCGCGCCCCATTTGACCTTACAGAAGGAGAGTCCGAACTAGTTTCCGGTTTTAATGTAGAGTATGCTGCCGGACCGTTCGCCTTATTCTTCCTAGCCGAATATGCTAACATTATACTAATAAATACACTAACCACCATCTTATTCCTAAACCCCAGCCCACTTAACCTCCCCCCTGAGCTATTCTCAATTACCCTCGCCACAAAAGTACTGCTCCTCTCCTCCGGCTTCCTATGAATTCGGGCCTCATATCCTCGATTCCGCTATGACCAATTAATACACTTACTATGAAAAAACTTCCTCCCACTAACATTAGCACTATGCCTCTGACACACCAGCATACCAATCTCCTACGCAGGTATCCCTCCCTTTCTAAGAAACCAAGGAAATGTGCCCGAACATCAAGGGTCACTATGATAAAGTGAACATAGAGGTATACCAGTCCTCTCATTTCCTACCACAAAACTTAGAAAAGCAGGAATCGAACCTACACAAGAGAGATCAAAACTCTCTATACTTCCTTTATATTATTTCCTAGTAGAGTAAGCTAACAAAGCTATCGGGCCCATACCCCGAAAATGATGGTTCAACCCCTTCCTCTACTAATGAACCCCCATGCAAAACTACTATCATCAATAAGCTTACTACTAGGAACCACCATCACAATTTCAAGCAACCATTGAATAATAGCCTGAACAGGATTAGAAATCAACACCCTTGCCATTATCCCCCTTATCTCAAAATCCCATCACCCTCGAGCCATCGAAGCCGCAATCAAATATTTCCTCGTACAAGCAGCTGCCTCAGCGCTAGTTCTCTTCTCAAGTCTAATAAATGCATGATTCACAGGACAGTGAGACATCACCCAACTAAACCACCCAACACCCTGCCTATTACTAACAACCGCAATCGCAATAAAACTCGGACTAGTACCCTTTCACTTCTGATTCCCAGAGGTCCTCCAAGGATCAACTTTAACTACAGCCTTACTCCTATCTACCGTAATAAAACTTCCCCCAATCACTATCCTCCTTATAACATCCCATTCCTTAAATCCAACACTACTCTCCACCATGGCTATCGCCTCGGCCGCCCTAGGCGGATGAATAGGACTAAACCAAACACAGTTACGAAAAATCCTAGCTTTCTCCTCCATCTCCCACCTTGGTTGAATGACCATCATTATGGTCTACAACCCAAAGCTCACACTATTGACCTTCTACCTTTACTCCTTAATTACTGCAACTGTATTCCTCACCTTAAACAAAACCAAAGCACTAAAATTGTCCACAATAATAACCTCATGGACAAAAATCCCTGCTCTAAACGCAACCCTAATACTAACACTACTATCCCTAGCAGGACTTCCCCCACTAACAGGCTTCCTACCTAAATGACTTATCATCCAAGAACTCACTAAACAAGAATTAACCACAGCAGCTACAATCATCGCGATACTCTCTCTACTGAGCCTATTCTTCTACCTCCGCCTCGCATACTACTCCACAGTTACACTCCCGCCGAACTCAACAAACCACATGAAACAATGGCATATTAACAAACCTACCAGCACCATAATCGCCATCCTAGCCACAACATCAACCCTACTACTACCACTATCCCCCATAATCCTGACCACCATCTAGAAACTTAGGATCACTATTAAACCGAAGGCCTTCAAAGCCTTAAACAAGAGTTAAACCCTCTTAGTTTCTGCTAAGACCCGCAAGACATTAACCTGCATCTCCTGAATGCAACTCAGACGCTTTAACTAAGCTAGGGCCTTCCCACAAACCCTAGACAGGCGGGCCTCGATCCCGCAAAATTCCAGTTAACAGCTAGATGCCCAAACCTAACAGGCTTCCGTCTAAACAGACCCTGGCACACTTTTAATGTACATCAATGAGCTTGCAACTCAACATGAACTTCACCACAGGGCCGGTAAGAAGAGGAATTAAACCCCTGTAAAAAGGACTACAGCCTAACGCTTATAACACTCAGCCATCTTACCCTAAACCTTACCTGTGACCTTCATTACTCGATGATTATTCTCAACCAACCACAAGGACATCGGTACTCTATACCTAATCTTCGGAGCATGGGCCGGTATAATTGGAACCGCCCTCAGTCTCCTTATCCGAGCTGAACTTGGCCAGCCAGGAACGCTCCTAGGAGACGACCAGATCTATAATGTGATCGTCACCGCTCATGCCTTCGTAATAATCTTCTTCATAGTTATACCAATCATAATTGGGGGATTCGGAAACTGACTAGTACCACTCATAATTGGTGCCCCCGACATAGCATTCCCACGCATAAACAACATAAGTTTCTGACTCCTTCCACCATCATTTATACTCCTACTAACCTCATCCACAGTCGAAGCAGGAGCAGGTACGGGCTGAACAGTCTACCCACCCTTAGCTGGCAACCTAGCCCATGCCGGAGCCTCAGTTGACCTAGCCATCTTCTCCCTCCACTTAGCAGGGGTGTCTTCCATCCTAGGAGCAATCAACTTCATTACAACCGCCATCAACATAAAACCCCCAACCCTATCACAATACCAAACTCCCCTATTTGTATGATCCGTCCTAATTACCGCCGTCCTACTTCTACTTTCACTCCCAGTTCTCGCTGCAGGTATTACAATACTACTAACTGATCGAAACCTAAACACCACATTCTTTGACCCCGCTGGAGGTGGCGACCCAGTCCTCTATCAACACCTATTCTGATTCTTCGGCCACCCAGAAGTCTATATTCTAATCCTACCAGGATTCGGAATCATCTCCCACGTAGTAGCCTACTACGCGGGTAAAAAAGAACCATTTGGCTATATAGGCATAGTATGAGCCATACTATCAATTGGATTCTTAGGCTTCATCGTATGAGCTCACCATATATTTACAGTAGGAATGGACGTAGACACCCGAGCATACTTCACATCTGCTACTATAATCATTGCAATTCCAACTGGCATCAAAGTCTTCAGCTGACTGGCCACACTACACGGAGGAACTATCAAATGAGACCCTCCAATACTATGAGCCCTAGGCTTCATCTTCCTGTTCACCATCGGAGGGCTAACAGGAATCGTATTAGCAAACTCCTCACTAGACATCGCCCTACACGACACCTACTACGTAGTCGCCCACTTCCACTACGTCTTATCCATAGGGGCAGTTTTTGCAATCCTGGCGGGCTTCACCCACTGATTCCCACTATTCACAGGATATACACTGCACCCTACATGAGCCAAGGCCCATTTCGGAGTAATGTTTTCAGGCGTAAATCTAACCTTCTTCCCACAACACTTCCTAGGACTAGCCGGCATACCACGACGATATTCCGACTACCCAGACGCTTACACTCTATGAAATACCATATCTTCCATCGGCTCACTCATCTCAATAACAGCAGTAATCATACTAATATTCATAATTTGAGAAGCCTTCGCAGCAAAACGAAAAGTCCTACAACCTGAACTAACAGCCACTAACGTTGAATGAATTCACGGCTGCCCTCCTCCATATCACACCTTTGAAGAACCAGCCTTTGTCCAAGTACAAGAAAGGAAGGAATCGAACCCTCATACACTGGTTTCAAGCCAGCCGCATTAAACCACTTATGCTTCTTTCTTATGGGGTGTTAGTAAACCCATTACATAGCCTTGTCAAGACTAAATCATGGGTGAAATCCCCATACACCCCACATGGCCAACCACTCCCAACTCGGATTTCAAGACGCCTCATCCCCCATTATAGAAGAACTCGTAGAATTCCACGACCATGCCCTAATAGTCGCATTAGCCATCTGCAGCCTAGTCCTATACCTCCTCGCACTCATACTGATAGAGAAATTATCCTCAAACACCGTTGACGCTCAAGAAGTAGAACTAATCTGAACTATCCTACCAGCAATTGTCCTCATCCTACTTGCCCTCCCATCCTTACAGATCCTCTATATAATAGACGAGATCGACGAACCCGACCTGACACTAAAAGCAATCGGACACCAGTGATACTGAACCTATGAGTACACAGACTTCAAAGACCTAACATTTGACTCTTATATAATCCCCACAGCAGAACTACCACAAGGACACTTCCGACTACTAGAAGTTGACCATCGAGTTGTTATTCCTATAGAATCCCCCATCCGCATCATCATCACAGCCAGTGACGTCCTCCACTCATGAGCAATCCCCACTCTAGGAGTAAAAACAGACGCAATCCCAGGTCGACTAAACCAAACCTCATTCATCACAACCCGACCAGGAATCTTCTATGGCCAATGCTCAGAAATCTGCGGTGCCAACCACAGCTACATACCAATCGTAGTAGAATCTGCCCCTCTTTCTCACTTTGAGAACTGATCATCACTAATACTATCCTAATCATTAAGAAGCTATGTAACAGCACTAGCCTTTTAAGCTAGCGACAGAGGACCCGCTACCCTCCTTAATGATATGCCCCAACTCAACCCAAACCCATGATTCTTTATTCTACTCATATCCTGAAGTGTCTTCTCACTAATCATCCAACCCAAACTACTATCATTCACCACTACCAACCCTCCCTCCACCAAACCTAAAGTAGCCCCTAAAACCACCTCCTGAACCTGACCATGAACCTAAGCTTCTTTGACCAATTCACAAGCCCATGCCTCCTAGGGATCCCCCTAATTCTACTAGCAACACTATTCCCCGCCCTACTACTCCCCTCGCCCAACAATCGATGAATCACAAACCGCCTCTCAACCCTTCAACTATGATTCCTCCACCTAATCACAAAACAACTGATAATACCACTAAACAAAGCAGGCCACAAATGAGCTCTAATCCTCACATCACTAATAATATTTCTCCTAACAATTAACCTGCTAGGCCTACTACCCTACACCTTCACTCCAACCACACAACTATCAATAAACATAGCACTAGCCTTCCCCCTTTGACTTGCCACCCTACTCACAGGCCTACGAAACCAGCCCTCAATGTCCCTAGGACATTTACTCCCCGAAGGAACCCCCACATTACTTATCCCTGCCCTAATCATAATTGAAACAACCAGCCTACTCATCCGTCCACTAGCTCTAGGCGTCCGCCTAACAGCAAACCTCACAGCAGGCCACCTACTCATTCAGCTCATCTCCACAGCTACCACCGCCCTACTCCCAATCTTACCTGCAGTATCAGCCCTAACCACGCTAATCCTACTCCCACTAACCATTCTAGAAGTAGCCGTCGCCATAATCCAAGCCTACGTTTTCGTCCTCCTATTAAGCCTATACTTACAAGAAAATATTTAATGGCCCACCAAGCACACTCTTACCACATAGTAGACCCAAGCCCATGGCCCATCTTCGGGGCAGCCGCTGCCCTACTAACAACCTCCGGATTAGCCATGTGATTCCACCACAACTCCCTACAACTCTTAAGCCTAGGCCTACTCTCCATAATCCTAGTTATACTCCAATGATGACGAGACATCGTACGAGAGAGCACATTCCAAGGCCATCACACACCCACAGTTCAAAAAGGCCTGCGATACGGAATAATCCTATTCATTACATCCGAAGCATTCTTTTTCCTAGGTTTCTTTTGAGCATTCTTCCACTCCAGCCTAGTACCCACCCCAGAGCTAGGCGGACAATGACCCCCAATAGGCATTAAACCCCTCAATCCCCTTGAAGTTCCTCTACTAAACACAGCCATCCTCCTAGCATCAGGAGTCACCGTCACATGAGCACACCATAGCATCACAGAGAGCAACCGAAAACAGGCAATCCACGCACTAACACTCACAATCTTACTTGGATTCTACTTTACAGCCCTCCAAGCAATGGAATACTACGAAGCACCATTCTCAATCGCCGATGGAGTATATGGTTCAACCTTCTTCGTCGCAACCGGGTTTCATGGTCTCCATGTAATTATCGGATCTTCATTCCTATCAGTCTGCCTCCTACGACTAATCAAATTCCACTTCACATCTAACCACCACTTCGGATTCGAAGCGGCAGCTTGATACTGACACTTCGTAGACATCATCTGATTATTCCTCTACATAACAATCTACTGATGAGGATCATGCTCTTCTAGTATACTAATTACAATTGACTTCCAATCTCTAAAATCTGGTAAAACTCCAGAGAAGAGCAATTAACATAATTACATTCATACTAACTCTATCCCTTGCACTATGTATACTCCTAATCACACTAAACTTCTGACTAGCCCAAACCAGCCCAGATTCCGAAAAACTATCCCCCTATGAATGTGGCTTCGACCCCCTCGGCTCTGCTCGACTCCCATTCTCTATCCGCTTCTTCCTCAGTAGCAATCCTATTCCTACTCTTCGACTTAGAAATCGCACTCCTACTCCCCCTCCCATGGGCTATCCAACTCCAATCCCCCACCACCACCCTAACCTGAGCTTCCACCATCATCCTCCTGCTCACCCTAGGACTTATCTACGAATGAACACAAGGTGGCCTAGAATGAGCAGAATAAACAGAAAGTTAGTCTAACCAAGACAGTTGATTTCGACTCAACAAACCATAGTCAAACCCTATGACTTTCTCCATGTCCCTCTCACACCTAAGCTTTTACTCAGCCTTCACACTAAGCAGCCTAGGACTAGCATTCCACCGCACACACTTAATCTCCGCCCTCCTATGTCTAGAGAGCATAATATTATCTATATATATCGCCCTATCAATCTGACCCATCGAAAACCAAACAATATCCCCCACCCTAATACCTATACTCATACTTACCTTCTCGGCCTGCGAAGCTGGCACAGGCCTAGCAATACTAGTAGCCTCCACCCGAACCCATGGCTCAGACCACCTACACAACCTAAACCTACTACAATGCTAAAAATTATCCTCCCAACAATTATACTCCTACCTACAACCCTCCTATCCCCACAAAAATTCCTATGAACTAACACCACCACCCACAGCCTACTAATCGCTACCCTCAGCCTACAATGACTATCTCCCACGTACTACCCACTTAAAAACACAACCCAATGAACTGGCATTGACCAAATCTCATCCCCCCTACTAGTTCTATCATGCTGACTACTTCCCCTTATGATCTTAGCGAGCCAAAATCACCTCCAGCACGAACCCTCACCACGAAAACGAATCTTTATCACAACCTTAGTAATAGTCCAACCATTCATCATCCTAGCATTCTCAACCACCGAATTAATACTATTCTATATCTCATTCGAAGCCACACTTATTCCAACCCTCGTACTAATCACACGATGAGGTAACCAACCAGAACGCCTAAGCGCAGGTACCTACCTACTATTCTACACCCTAATCAGCTCCCTGCCACTACTAATCACAATCCTATTCCTACACACCCAAACTGGTACCCTTCACCTAACAATACTAAAACTCACACACCCAACCCTCACAACCTCCTGATCCAGCCTTCTATCAGGCCTGGCCCTACTAATAGCATTCATAGTAAAAGCCCCCCTATATGGTCTCCACCTATGACTACCCAAAGCCCACGTAGAGGCCCCAATCGCAGGGTCAATGTTACTTGCCGCTTTACTTCTAAAACTAGGAGGATATGGCATTATACGAATCACTCTCCTAACAAGCCCCCTCTCAAACCACCTGCACTACCCATTTATTGCCCTAGCCCTATGAGGAGCACTAATAACTAGCTCAATCTGCCTACGTCAAACTGACCTAAAATCCCTCATCGCCTACTCATCCGTAAGCCACATAGGCCTAGTCATCGCTGCAAGTCTAATCCAAACCCACTGATCATTCTCAGGAGCAATAATCCTTATAATCTCCCACGGCCTAACCTCCTCCATACTATTCTGCCTCGCTAACACAAACTACGAACGCACACACAGCCGAATCCTACTACTCACTCGAGGCCTCCAACCCCTACTACCACTCATAGCCACCTGATGACTCCTAGCCAACCTCACAAATATAGCCCTACCCCCCACCACAAACTTAATAGCAGAACTAACCATCATAATCGCACTATTCAACTGATCTACACCCACAATCATCCTAACTGGCATCGCAACTCTCCTAACCGCCTCATACACCCTATTCATAATACTAACAACCCAACGAGGAGTCTTACCAAACCACATTACATCCATCCAAAACTCAAACACCCGAGAACACCTCCTAATAGCCCTCCACACTATCCCCATACTACTCTTAATCCTCAAACCAGAAATCATCTCTGGACTCCCCTCATGCAAGTATAGTTTCAACCCAAACATTAGACCGTGACTCTAAAAATAGAAGTTAAAACCTTCTTACCTGCCGAGGGGGAGGTTCAACCAACAAGAACTGCTAATTCTTGTATCTGAGTCTAAAACCTCAGCCCCCCTTACTTTTAAAGGATAACAGCAATCCACTGGTCTTAGGAACCACTTCATCTTGGTGCAAATCCAAATAAAAGTAATGGAACCCACACTACTTCTCAGCACCTCAATACTACTCACACTAACAGTCATCCTAACCCCCACCCTACTCCCCCTTCTATCAAAAAACTTCCAAAACTCTCCAACCACCATCACACGAACCATTAAAACCGCCTTCCTAATTAGTCTAATACCAATAACACTATTCCTCTACTCAGGCACAGAAAGTATTACCTCCACCTGAGAATGAAAATTCATCATAAACTTTAAAATCCCCCTCAGCTTCAAAATTGACCAATACTCCATACTATTCTTCCCCATCGCACTATTCGTAACATGATCCATCCTCCAATTCACAGCATGATACATACACTCAGAGCCATACCTCATAAAATTCTACTCCTACCTCCTAATATTCCTAATCGCCATACTAACTCTAACCATCGCCAACAACATATTCCTCCTATTCATTGGCTGAGAAGGCGTAGGAATCATGTCATTCCTACTAATCGGCTGATGACAAGGTCGAGCAGACGCCAATACAGCCGCACTCCAAGCTGTACTCTACAACCGAATCGGGGACATCGGCCTTATCCTAAGCATAGCCTGACTTGCTTCCTCCATAAACACCTGAGAAATCCAACAAGCTTTTACCAACACCCAAACCCCCACCCTGCCCCTCCTAGGCCTCATTCTCGCCGCCACAGGAAAATCAGCCCAATTCGGACTACACCCCTGACTACCTGCAGCCATAGAAGGCCCAACCCCAGTCTCCGCCCTACTCCACTCAAGTACTATAGTGGTTGCCGGGATCTTCCTCCTCATCCGCACCCACCCAATACTCACCAATAACCAAACTGCTCTCACCCTATGTCTATGCTTAGGAGCCCTATCCACACTTTTCGCCGCCACATGTGCCCTTACACAAAACGACATTAAAAAAATCATCGCTTTCTCCACATCTAGCCAACTAGGCCTAATGATAGTAACAATTGGACTAAACCTTCCACAACTAGCCTTCTTCCACATCTCAACACATGCCTTCTTCAAAGCCATACTATTCCTATGCTCAGGGTCTATCATCCACAGCCTAAACGGAGAACAAGATATCCGAAAAATAGGGGGCCTACAAAAAACACTCGTTAAAACCACCTCCTGCCTGACTATCGGCAACTTAGCACTAATAGGAACCCCATTCCTAGCCGGATTCTACTCAAAAGACCTTATCATTGAAAACCTAAACACCTCTTACTTAAACACCTGAGCACTCCTCCTCACACTCCTAGCCACATCATTCACCGCCACCTATAGCCTACGCATAACCCTCCTAGTTCAAACAGGATTTACCCGCATCCCTACAACCTCCCCAATAAACGAAAACAACCCAACCGTCACCAACCCAATCACCCGCCTCGCCCTAGGTAGCATCATAGCCGGCCTCCTCATTACATCCTACCTCATCCCTACAAAAACCCCCCCAATAACCATACCCACAGCTACAAAAACCGCAGCCATCATCCTCACAATCCTAGGTATCATTCTAGCCCTAGAACTCTCAAACATAACCCACACCCTAACTCAACCAAAACAAAACACCCTCTCAAACTTTTCAAACGCACTAGGTTACTTCAACCCCCTAACACATCGACTTAACTCCACAAACCTACTAAGCAGCGGACAAAACATTGCCTCCCACCTAATCGACCTATCCTGATATAAAAAGATAGGCCCCGAGGGACTTGCCGACCTGCAACTCATAGCAACCAAAACCTCAACCACCCTACACACCGGACTAATCAAGACATACCTAGGAACATTCGCCCTATCCATCCTAATTGTCCTATCAACATATAGACCCAAAATTAATGGCCCCAAACCTCCGAAAATCCCACCCCCTACTAAAAACAATCAACAACTCCCTCATCGATCTACCTACTCCTCCAAACATCTCTGCCTGATGAAACTTTGGGTCCCTCCTAGGCATCTGCTTAACAACACAAATCCTGACCGGCCTACTCCTAGCCACACACTACACTGCAGACACAACATTAGCCTTCTCATCCGTCGCCCATACATGCCGAAACGTACAGTACGGTTGACTTATTCGCAACCTACATGCAAACGGTGCCTCATTCTTCTTCATCTGCATCTACCTCCACATTGGCCGTGGCCTCTACTACGGATCCTACCTGTACAAAGAAACCTGAAACACCGGAGTCATCCTCCTACTCACCCTAATAGCAACTGCCTTCGTAGGATATGTCCTGCCATGAGGACAAATATCCTTCTGAGGGGCCACCGTCATCACCAACCTATTCTCAGCCATCCCCTACATCGGACAGACCCTAGTAGAATGAGCCTGAGGCGGGTTCTCAGTAGACAACCCCACACTCACACGATTCTTTGCCCTCCACTTCCTCCTCCCATTCATAATCGCAGGCCTCACCATAATCCACCTCACCTTCCTGCACGAATCAGGATCAAACAACCCCCTAGGAATCGTATCAAACTGCGACAAAATCCCATTCCACCCTTACTTCTCCACAAAAGACATCCTAGGCTTCATGCTTATACTCCTACCACTCACAACCCTAGCCCTATTCTCCCCCAACCTCCTAGGAGACCCAGAAAATTTCACCCCAGCAAACCCCCTAGTAACCCCTCCCCATATCAAACCAGAATGATACTTCCTATTTGCCTACGCCATCCTCCGATCTATCCCCAACAAACTAGGAGGAGTACTAGCCCTGGCAGCATCCGTACTAATCCTATTCCTAATCCCTCTCCTCCACAAATCAAAACAACGTACTCTAGCCTTCCGGCCCCTCTCCCAACTCCTATTCTGAACTCTCGTCGCCAACCTCCTCATCCTAACTTGAGTAGGCAGCCAACCAGTAGAACACCCCTTCATCATCATCGGCCAATTAGCCTCCATCACCTACTTCACAATCCTCCTCATCCTATTCCCCGCCACTGGGGCTCTAGAGAACAAAATACTAAACTTCTAAGACACTCTAATAGTTTACTAAAAACATTGGCCTTGTAAGCCAAAGAATGAAGACCACGCCCCTTCTTAGAGTTCACCCACCCACTCAGAAAGAGAGAGCTCACACCTCTATCACCAACTCCCAAAGCTGGCATTTTTCAAGTTAAACTACTTTCTGACCCCCAACCTAACTGCCCGAATAGCCCCACGCAAGCCCCGCACCAACTCCACCACAAACAGGGTCAACAGCAACCCCCAACCTCCCACAAACATTCCCACCCCATGGTAGAACATAGCCACTCCACCAAAATCCAACCGAACGAGCACTCCTCCCGAGTCAACAGTAACCACACCCTTTCAACACTCCACAAAACCTCCTACAACCACTCCAACAGCAAACACCAGAAGCAACCCTATACCGTACCCCATAACCCGCCAGTCCCCCCAAGCCTCCGGAAAATCCGCCGCCAACACGTACACAAAGACCACCAACATTCCACCCAAATACACCAAAAACAGCACCAACGAAATAAAAGCACCCAAACTCAACAATCATCCGCACCCTACAACCCCCAACACCAAACCAACAACCCCATAGTACGGATTCGAAGCAACTGCCCCCCCAACAAAGCACACCCCAAGAAAAATTACGAAGTAAGTCATAGCAGTTCCTGCTTGGCTTCTCTCCAAGACCTGCGGCTTGAAAAGCCGCCGCTGACTAACACTTCAACTACAGGAACCCCCCCCCCTTCACCCCCCCATACATTTCAACTGCTCAAACAAGCTCTATGTATGGGCATGCATTGGTCTATATGCCCCCTTCTTTCCCGAAATGTTAGAAATAAATTTACCTGCATGTACTAAACCCATACACTGTCCTGGATAAAAGATCCTAATTTCCACTGCTCTACTTAGAGGACTAAACCTGTAATGAGTTTAGGAAAGGTAACGTAACCTGTTTTAGAACCATGGCTAGGTGGGTTGTACATGTACTTTGGAGTAAAGGTACGGCTGTGCTTGAGCAGTGGTAAGTGAATGGTAACTGGCCATAAAAGGGAAACTATCTCCTGATGTGCCGGTATCTAAAGGACCAGGGTATTTATTAGGCGGCCTTCTCCCGTGAAATCAGCAACCCGCCGCATATAAGGTTCTACATTACTACCTTCAAGACCATTCATTCCCCCTACACCCTATCCCAACTTGCGCTTTTGCGCCTCTGGTTCCTCGGTCACGGCCATGGCTCGGTTTACTTAGCACTCGGTTCTCTTCACACAGCCATTTGGTTGATGCTTGTCTGCTTCTCACCCGTGATCGCGGCATCTGGATTGCCTGGGGCGCCTCTAGTAATTTTCTTCTTCTAAACTTCTTCAGGCTGCCCTCCGGTGCACCGCGGCGCTGCCATCGAAGACGTGAGCATACAGACGCGTCATCGGCCTATTATTCGTGGTCAGGCGTCACTGGATGAGACGGTTGGAGTATTTGTGGAATCATTTTTACACTGTGCACTTTGTTTTCCATTTGGTTGTTGGTGTGTCCACTAACCCCTAACATGGTGTTATTTGATGAATGCTTGTTAGACATATTTTTTTCCACTTTCTACTTATTTTACTTCCTCTAATTTTCTTTGAGTTCCAAAACACAACTAGGTAACTTTCAACTAAAAATTTAACGAGTATATCAAAAAATTTTTACAAATCATATTCGTATACCTTACATTACTTTAAAGCACTAAAATTTCATTAAAAATATACTATACCCTTCATGAACTGTATCCTTATATCTTTATGTTACCTTTACTACTTTAAAGCACTAAAATTTCATTAAAAATATACTATACCCTTCATGAACTGTATCCTTATATCTTTATGTTACCTTTACTACTTTAAAGCACTAAAATTTCATTAAAAATATACTATACCCTTCATGAACTGTATCCTTATATCTTTATGTTACCTTTACTACTTTAAAGCACTAAAATTTCATTAAAAATATACTATACCCTTCATGAACCGTATCCTTATATCTTTATGTTACCTTTACTACTTTAAAGCACTAAAATTTCATTAAAAATATACTATACCCTTCATGAACTGTATCCTTATATCTTTATGTTACCTTTACTACTTTAAAGCACTAAAATTTCATTAAACAACAAACAATAAACATCGAACAACAAACAACAAACAATAAACAACAAACAATAAACAACAAACAACAAACAATAAACAACAAACAATAAACAACAAACAATAAACAACAAACAATAAACAACAAACAATAAACAATAAACAACAAACAACAAACAACAAACAATAAACAACAAACAATAAACAATAAACAATAAACAACAAACAATAAACAACAAACAACAAACAATAAACAACAAACAATAAACAACAAACAATAAACAACAAACAATAAACAATAAACAACAAACAACAAACAACAAACAATAAACAACAAACAATAAACAACAAACAATAAACAACAAACAATAAACAATAAACAACAAACAACAAACAACAAACAATAAACAACAAACAATAAACAAC